AACCACACCGCTTCCCCAGGGCAGAGAATTGTTGGTCCCTCAGGGCCGTTTTTCCCTCCCCTCCAAGATATTGGCATAAGGGTTTGGGTCAGCAGGAAAATGGAGAAGGACCTTCGGTTCACCCTTGGAAATAAGCTGTCCACTCCCCACCTTTAAAAGACACAGAAAAGGACAAGGTTTGGAGATCAAGTTAAATGTCCAATTTATTTTTATAACTTGAAACCAGAACAAACTTGGTTTTGAACAAGCGTACAAATGAAATGGCAGACACATGCTGAACTCAACATTGTGACATTAAGGGAAAAAGAGGCCCAAAATCTTGTACAGAGAATAAAAGGAACAATAAATATTTTACTAAGCCATATTGAAATGACCTCCTGTCATCTCAACATTTTATCCATAATTAAAAAAAAAAAGAGTGCCCGTTTTTTAAACAGAGCACAAATACCAAGCAATAATAAATAGTTCCAAACTTGTAGTAAAAGACAAAACCTCCAAGTAAACACAAAAGCTCATACAATAAGTAATAGAAAAGGTAATAAAAATATTTCGCCTTGCCGGTACAAATGCAAACGACTGAAATCAATGTAACTTTGCTTTGCAGGGCTGAGGTACAAAGAGCACCAAAATCACGGATTTGCCTGTGTTCAACAAAACCTTCAGCTGACGGACCGGGATGAAGGGCTGATGTCCTTGCTTTTCACATTTTGCTTAGAGTAATTCAGTCTCCTCTCCCCATGAAAGACCCTCCAATGGCAAGTGGCAGGTTCCGATTGGGGGCAACTTTGGGCAAAGTTGTGGCAGTGTGGAACCCGGCCTGAGGTCGGCTGGGTCACCCAGGCTGGAGGCCTCTCACTGGGTCACCTGCTTAACCACCAAAGAGAAGCAAAGCTCTCTTATCTCTGCGGTCGGCAGAGACACAACCCTTGTGCTTTAGGATGGCTTAGTCCTGGCATTCTGGTGACTGGGTTGAGCTGGTGAGCGCTGGCTAGCTTTGAGAGCCACAGGAGAACCACGGTGGAGCTCCCGGCAGCTAGGAGGGCGGTGGGAGGAGGGAAGGGCAGCTCTGGGTTTTGGCTCAAGCAGGTAGGAAACTGAAATCTCAGCTTTATGGCCCTCTCCCTCCCCCTCTTTTAACCTTGCAAAGGTAAATGGCAGGGGGGGGGGGGGACAGCGCAAACAGAAAGCTCCCAGAAGAAAGATTTCTGCATTTGGTAAAGATTTGCCCAGAAGGATGCTTGGTTATCTTTTTATAACCTGCAATAATGGTTTCTTACATTTCCTGAAATAAAAAATGGCTTCCTGATATAGGTATTTGTTAAAAATGTTTTATTCCCTCATCCAAAAAACCACCATTTTATTATTATCTTAAAGCTACTTGGCTTTACAAAAAAAAAGAGAGAGAGAGAGAGAGAGAGAGAGAGAGAGGGGAAGAAGAAGAAGAAAAGAAAGAAGAAAAAGAGGAGTGGAAGGGACAGAGAGGGAGAAAGAAAAGAAATTCCATCAACAGGAAATGAACAGGTAAAGGACCAACAGAGGCTGGAGGGTGGGGAAACGCAGAGGGAGAGATACGAAAGGCACCGAATTCATTCATCCCAGGCCCTCGGCATCCGGAAACGGACAGATGTAGGTTGGAGACAGAAGCAGCGAAGCAGGGGAGAAAAACTGGCCACCACTCGGTGGAACGGAAGGTCCTGGTGCGAGGGTCCCCTTCCTCAGTCCCACCTGCGGGGCCCCTCCACGGGACCCCATGGACACAGCTCCTGCTGCTACACGTTCTGTCTGCCTCCTGTTTTCTCAAGGACTAAAGCAGCTCGGTCTGCGATTCTCTCTGCTCTCGAGAGCGGGCCAGGTGGTGGGGAGCGCCATGCAGCGACAGCAGAGAAGGAAGGCCACCCTGCTGGCTCCCCTCTGCAGCTGCCACCTTGCAAAACGGCCTCCTGGAGATGGGAGGACTGGGTGGAACGTCACCCACATTTTGACAAAACTGATTTTTCCACTCAACACAAATAAAGCATTTCCCATCCGGCCTGCCGCGGCCACACCAAGGCGCCTTGATGTCAGGGCGGGCGTCCACATGGAAGCCCGAAGCCAACAGTTCTCTGTGCAGGCCAGTTCTGACAAAAATATATACAACTAAAATGATCTGTGACCCAAAGCATTTAACTACTTCCTTTTGATTCTTTTTCTCAAAGGTTGTCAAACAACCCTTCTTCTCCTGTACAATAGGACTTAACATACAAATTTTTTTTTTTTGCAATATTTTATCCTGCCAAATTAAAAAAATATATTATGGCAGCCTGTTTGTTTTTGTTTTTTTCTTTTTATTTCCAAATTCACTAACAAAAAGGTACATTAAATCCCTTTAAAAGGACAAGCTTACAGTTAAAAAATTACAAGCTCCAGTAAAAATACAGCAAGTGCCTACATCATATGAACCAACCAATATATCCATTCCAGAGGGAGGTGGGGAGAGAAAAATAAGTACAGGTCAGAAATGTGATTTTTTTTTTTCTGCAAAGCAATGACAATATTAAGCACTTTTTTTTTCTACATACTTTTTCTACATGGTGTAGCAATCCCCTTTTAATCCCCAAATACAAGTTTCTATACATTTTTTTTGAAATAAAAATTCAACACCCAAGGCAGAAAAAAATTTACTAAAACTCCGACTTTACAGTTACTGTGACAAGAACAAATTTATAGACCCACCATTTAAATTTTACTGCAACATTTTCAAGGAAAAGAAAAAAGTTTTTTTTTTCTTGTTTTGTAAAATGCCCAGGCATTCTCGATTATTACAAATACTGGTCCACTTTTACAGTAATCAAGAAATTTTAATATATATAATATATACTAAAACCCCGTCACCAAAAGAAAACAATATACACGTAGCCATTGTGGCATTTTTGTATAGCCTATTAAGCAAACTCTGAAAAAAAATGATCGCTCCAACACACATACACACATTTTTTTTTTACCCTTGTATGTATCCAATACTGTAAACGTATTTTTAAGACAGAGTGCACTAAATTTAACTTTAGAAAAAAATTAGCCATTGTTCCTGAATTGTTTTGTCATTTTTTTCATTCAACGATATCAACTTGTGTCACTTGAGTTTTAATTCAGCAGTAAGTCACCTCTACTCCACATCTAAGCAGCGTTGTCCCAAAAACAAAAGGGGCTGAGGATAACCGAGCTAATGGATGGCCAAGGTTGTGCTGGGGTTTTTTTCTCACTTCATTGGGTCTTATGGCATTTTCATGTCCTGTATCTTCAACCAGGATTTTATTTTTAATTCAAAGTAAATGTGGCTTTGCTTCTAAAGAATGTACTTTTCTTGTTTTACTTTTTTAAAAAGTCTTTTCATTTAAAAAAAAAAAAAAGTTTTGCATTTGTCTCAAGAGACTCAAATAGGAAGATCAGTTTTCAAGGCACTCACATCAAATTGAATGGCAGTAGAAAAACTGTCCAATAAATTATTATTTTATTTTGTTCTTTATAGTGCCAGTATTGTGAATGCCACGCTTAGCAACACCGACACTCAATCTCAGCTGTCCCTTACAGTTTAACCCACCTCTGGGCCAAAGAAAATATGCTGCAATTTCTTGTTTAGAAGCCATTTAATTTTAAATGCAAACAAAAGCTTTAAAGTGCGGGTCAACAGAATTCAAATGTCTAATATCAACAGTCCAATGTTAGTACCTTCCAACCTAATCCGAGAAAAAAACAACTGGGAAGTAGCGCTGGGCACCTTTGCCGGATGGAGCTCTTCCTCTGCTTCTCCAGGGAGAGGGAACAGAAATCTGTAAGATGTTCCCCTGTCCCTACAATGTCATCAGAGTGCACTGAATAAGAGGGCACTAACTTCCTCAATTCACCATCAAGGCGTCTGTCTGCTTGAGAAATGATCAGTCATCACGGGTAGCAACATGCGCTTGGGATTTATAGAATGGGGGTGAGAAAAAGAGAAGTCGTCAAGTCAGAAGAAGCCTGAAAGAACTCTGCTGGTTCCTTCCTTTCTGTGTCACTGTAGACCACCACCGTCTACCCCATAAAAAATAGCCTCAGCCCACTTTCTCCAGCCAAAACTACAGCAGAGGGCAGAGATGGCATCCCAGGGCACCCCCACATTCCAAGAAAAGGGTGCTGTCTGCTGGTAATGCACCACCTCAGAATGCTCGGGGCCTCTTCCCAGGGTAGCCCTCGAAATCGGTTTTTCTAGTGGTACTTTGTGGGTGTCTCCCCCACCACCCCACTAAAAGTTTTCCCGATACCAGGTGAAAATTGATATCAACACAGAAAAGGCCTCTGGGACTCAGGACATCATCAGTGCTCCATCTCCATTCCAATTCTGAAACAAAGTGCTACAATTTTAAAGATTGTTATCCGCTGTACATCCCTCCCCCCAAAAAAATAAAATAAAATAAAATAAAAAGCCTAAAAATGCATGCCACTTTTTATTTCAGGACCAAAAAAAAAGGGGGGGGGGGATAAAAAAGTAAACAACTTTAAAAGTCATTTAAGTGTTGGCTTCTTCACAAGAAATTACACATGCTTAGCTTAAATTTCAAAAAAGCAGCGCCCCCCCCCCAAATTATAATTTAAAAGATATGCTTCCCCTCTACATTGCTGACGAGTCATTGCTCAGACCACTATAGGGTTAAAAAAATGAAGAAGGGATGAATACCCAACAAAATCTTTTAAAGGAATTTAAACAGAAGGAATAATAATAAAAAGTACCTGCACATGCCAAAAAAAATTACAAAACCCAATAAATACAGAAATTATTGCACAGTTAAAAGGCTCCACAATTTTTTACTTCCTTAATCAACCCTCGGGTTTCCATAGGACTTCGCAGACACAGGTTAGGTTGGGGTACCGCCTCCCCGGGGACACACGGGGCGCTAAGTGGCGGTGACGCGGAGGCAAGTCAGGTCGGCATTCTCGCAGTTGGCAAGGGTTCCACTGTACAGGTGAGGGGCGCCCGGCCCGAGTGCTTAGCTCCTCTCGGCCTGCTCGATTTTGACGTCGTTAGTCAGCAAGTGCTCGCCATGCCACTTTTTCATGTGTTTCTCCAGGGTGCTGTAGACGCTGAAGGGCATCTGGCAGATGTCGCAGCGGTACACCTCCTTGCCGATCTGCCCGTGCGTCTTCATGTGGCGCGTGAGCTTGCTGCTCTGCGCGCACGCGTAGTTGCACAGCTCGCACTTGTAAGGCCGCTCGCCGGTGTGGCTCCGCCGGTGCACCGTCAGGTTGCTGCAGTTCTTGAACACCTTGCCGCAGTACTCGCACGTGTCGCTGCGGCGGCCCTCCTTGGAGCTGGGCCGCCCAGGGCCCGGGCCGCCCAGATGCGGCGTGCTGCCCCCGCTGGCGGTGCCACTACGGCCCGACAGGCCGCCGTCCAGCAGGTCCCCGGGGGGCGTGGAGAAGCGCAGGCTGCCGTTCTCGGACGAGTGCTCAGAGGACGTGGCGAAGGGCGACTGGCGCGCGTCCGTGAAGCCCAGGAACGGGTCCTTCATGAAGTGCCGCGACGCCGCATAGCCCACGAGCCACTGCGAGTACACGTTCTCCGACGGGATGAGCGCGGCGGGGGGCAGCTCCAGGTCCTTCTCCACCTTGATGCGCTTGGCCGCGCTGTTGAGCCCGGGGCTGGGCAGCGGTGCCGGCTTGCGGGGAAAGAGGCCAGGGAAAGGCTCAGCGCCGGGCGCGAAGCCACCGCCCCGCCCGTTCACCGCGCCACCCGCACCCGCATCACCGCAGCCTCCCGCGTCGTCTTCGTCGCCCGTGTCACCAGCAGCCGTACGTTTCAGGAAGGCGCCACGCTTCTGCTTGTCGGCCAGCAGCTCGCTGTACTGGGGCAGCGCGCCCAGGCCCACGTTCTCCATGACCTTGCCCAGCACCAGCGCCTTCTCGTCGGCCAGAGCCTTGGCCGCACCGCCCACGCCGCCCCCCGCGCCGGGCACCCCGGCCACACCGCCACCGTTCTCGCGGTTGCGGCTCAGCTCCGAGTCCATGCTGAAGCTCGACTCTGGTCGGCTCTCGTTCTCCAGCAGCAGCTCCTCCTCTTCCTCCTCCTCTTCCTCGTCCTCCTCCTCGGGCTCGTGGCCCAGTGACGGGTCGCTCTCGTGGTGGCGGAAGTCGCCGTCGGAYGCCTTGAGGCCCTCGCCGGCCAGCTCGCTGGTGCCAGGCTCCGGGGAGCTGGCGGCCGAGAGTCCGTCGTCGGAGCGACCAGCCAGGGAGCCGGCCTTGTGCATGTGCGTCTTCATGTGGCGCTTGAGCTTGCTCGCCTGCGAGCACGCGTGGTCGCACAGCTGACACTTGTAGGGCTTCTCGCCCGTGTGGCTGCGCCGGTGCACGATGAGATTGCTCTGGAACTTGAAGGTCTTGCCGCAGAATTCGCACGACTTGCTCTTGGCCGGGGGCTGTGGCGGAGGGGTGCTGCCAGGGGGCATGGCGGGCAGCGGCGGCGTGCTCAGGAAAGGGGACTTGGGGCTGGGCTGGAAAGGGTTCAGGAGCCGGTGCATAGGGTTGCCGCGGCCTGGCGACACGGGTGGCGGCGTGGAACTGTTGCCTGCCAGCTCGCGAAGCCGCCGCGAGAAGTCCATGGCAGGTGAGTCGATGGCCATGGGGTTCAGGCGCATGACTCGGTCAAAGGCACTGGGGTGCTGGGCGACGAGCCCCATCTCCTCGGCACTGAGGCGGTGCGGGTCCAGGTGGTGGCGTGGCGGCGGGCTGAAGAGCGGCGGCGTACCGGGCAGGCGGCCCTCACCAAAGCCCGGGTGGTCCCGCAGGATGGGGCCCGTCATGCGCAGCAGGTTGAAGGGGCTGCTGTCGCCCAGGAAATTCATGAGTGGGGACTGTGCCACAGCCTCGGGCCCCAGCGGCGGCGGGATGGTGAGCCGGGGCGTGAGTGAGCTGCTGGCCGGCCCGGGCTCCAGGTAGATCCGGAAGCCATGCGTGTTCTGCGCGTGCTGCAGCAGGAACCACGCGCTGTTGAAGGGCTGCTTGCATGTTGTGCAAATGTAGCTGGAAGGCTCATCTTTACCTGGGGAGACACACGGACAGAAAGGCAGAGAGAGCATGAGAAGTGGCAGGGGGCATGGGCACCAAGGGGCCACTAACCTGGAGGCACTCAGCAGACCAAGAGCCCTGTGCTCCCACCGGAGGCTGCAGGGCCACTTCTGGGCAGGCCTGGCTTTGCTCTTCCCACCTGGAGGGGCACTGAAGAAGTCAGATCTGTGCACAGGGCGCCCTGGTAACTGGATCTCAACAAGTTCCTTCCACTCTGTAGGCCTGGCTTTTGCCTGTCCTCAAGGTGCTTTCCTCCTTATCTCAGAGACCAGATGAGAGTGTGCCCAGAAGAAAGCCTTATTTTAATGGAATCAGCAAAGAGTGGACTGGGAAAAACAGCCAGGCCAAAGCTCAATCATATAAGGCAATCTAGACTGGGGTTTCTTAACCCAAACCCTATTGACATTAGACCCCAATGATTCTTTGTTGGGGTGGGAGCAGGGCAGTCTTGGTATTGTGGGGTCTCTACCTACTAGATGTCAGGAGCACCCCTCCTTTGGAGTGGAGACCAAAAGTATCTCCAGACACACCATTTGTCCCCTGCAGAGCAAAATCACCTCTCCACCTCGCCATGGGAAACACTGATTCAGACAATATTTGATTCAAGGTAATTCTACAGAAACAAACTATTGCCTTGCAAAGAAATTTTTTTTTTTTCGAGGAGAGATGGTTGTGATACCTTTGCAACGTTTGCCATTTAGCCATAGGAAATCCCTGTGCACCAGTGTCCCTGCAGAAAGCACTGTGCAGTTGAAACAGCCTATATAAACTGCTGCAGAGACCCAACAGCTGTCCCTGCCTAGTGTCCTCACGCACAGGCCAGGCCCCAGATGTGGGGTGGAATTCAGCTTCCATGGGCCCCTTCAGGACACTGACCTCGAGGAGTACCAGAATACTAAGGAATGAAAGGCCATGCCATGCCCGACAGGCCGTCAGGATGAACCGCAGTAAAGGTTGATTTGTCAGAATTGGTTCCAGTGATATGGGTAGCAAACTGTAAGTGGACTCTGGTGGCACTGAGCCAAAATGTCACCGTCTTTGTCCATCATTGAGGCAGTCACAAAATGGAGGCTAAACCTTTCATCTGGAACCTTCTCACAGCCGGCCTCCTCGACCTCTGCTGAATCTGGCTGCTCTGCCGACCGGAGCCCCTGTTAACGCTTTACACAAGTGAGACAGGCRCGGACAGGCCATCTTCCATCATCAGATGCACCAGCCGGGAAGGAAAAAAGAACAGGAATCCCATCCCAGACCAGGTACAAGACGTCGCCCAATGCAGTCTTGAAAAGCTCCTTTTGTTTTATTCAAACTTTCCTGAACCTGGAAAATCTAACGCAAATTTTAAAGTCAGGCACGCTGGTGAGGCCAAACATGCTCGTTGTCATCACGCCCACATCAGGAAGGCCACACGGGGGGAGTAGACAAAGCCATCCCCATCTTGGCTGCTCCACCCCTCGACTTAAGGACTCTGAAATCCCGCGCAGAGCGTGTTTTTGTTTTACACCCACTAATTATGTTCCTGGAGGGAGCAGCCTTAGCAGAGCTTGTAGCTGCCTTAACTATCCTTCAGAAACCATCTTTAAAAGGCACAAGGCACATGGCCCTGAATTCCACCAGAGGGATTCGGTCTTGAGTGTGCCTCTCTCACAAATTAGCCTTGCCAGTATCCAAGGGTCGAGGACCTCCCGACACACCCCACATGGGCAGTGTTGCAAAGCTGCCCAACGGGCTGGGCACAGACTCCCCAGACTGCAGAACCAACCCGATGGGACACCTGGCACTGGAAACTGGGATGTGCTTTTACGTGCCCGCTGTACTCRGGGATTATGCCACAGTGCACTCTCACTTTGTGTCTGTTTGGTGGAGAGAAGACCAGAGGCAGGGAGGGGCAGGACAGAATTCTGAGGCTCAGCCTCGCCTCGCCTTTAAAATAGCTCAGGGAGAACTTCCAAGGCTATTTTCTTCTCCAGGGCGTTGGGGCCTTTTCCCTCTCCCAGAGTATCTGAGTGACTCTGTCCCTATCACACCCCCTAAGGGAATGTCCCCCACCTGGAAGAGGGCAGAGAGGCCCGAATGGCCATGATGCTCATTGTCGGGCTACAGACACCCCCACCCTTTCTGCAGGCCACTAGCAGAGGGGGCATCGGCTTCTCTGGGRCACGTCTCCTGTCCTCAGTTTCTTGGGAAGTGGACATCATACCTCAGACAGCTCATGAGACAGACAGCCAGAAACCATGACTTAGGGGACTCTTCTAAGTAAGCAATAAATGAGAAGATAAATGAAAGTCCTTTTCAAACCCAGGAGCTAATAACACAAATGAAGTACCACGTCCACCGAGGTCACAGATCTTCAAATTAAAAGGCGAGTCAGAACCCTTCCCCAGCTTCGTCCAATCTAACTCAAGGGTTGATGGCCCACGGCCACTGTGGTTCTRCCTGGTTTTCATCTGGACCTCCCTCCCCACATCTCTTCTCCATCATCTCCGCTTCCTTAGGTAGCTCCAAAGCACTTCCTTTTTTCTTGATCTGGTGGCTACGCATTTCCTAGAAAGTTCTGTGGCTAGTGGGGAATTTCAGAGGAAAATGCAGAGGTCCTAGGCAGGGCGATGAAGACTACCTGGAGGCCGAAATGGCCGATTACATATTTTTCAAACTCAAAATGGCAACTGCTGAGAAACATGTAGCTGCATGTTCGAAAAAGCTCAGATGTTTCCAGTTCTTGTTTAAAAAAAAAAAAAATGGACACTTCTAAAACTCCAGCTTCAGGAGGAATTTACCTGTCCATAATTCACCGTGAGGTAGCAAAGCGCTCTGTTTACAAGTGGGATCTCGGGTCATCTGTCATGCCAGGRTAAGTGCTTTCTTACCAGAGCCCCCTGACCCACTCTGGTTGGARGACCCCCTGTGTGAACAGCCAGGCTGACCACAGGCAGTGGCCTCCCTGGGATCTGACAGCACCTGACCGTCTGAGGCTCTCCCAGCCCTTGAGGCCCTCCCTAGACAACTCCTTTGACACCCTCATTCTTTTTTTTTTAATAAAATGACTTCCTGGTTATCTCCATCTCTCAGACCTTCCTAGTGCCCTCTGGCAGAAGCCCTCCCTGGATCTTCTTGGTTCTACTGACTCTAAAGTGATCCCCTTGGCATCTCTCTCAAATGCCAAACCCTCCCCGTGACCTCTTGGTTACCAGAGCCCCGGACAGCAGCGTTTGCTTAAGACCTCTGCCCTCTTCCCAGACAGGCGCTGCCAAGCAAGTCACCTAACCCCTCTGAGCCTTGATTTCCTCATCAGTAGAACACAAATCCCACACCTGCCTCGCTAGAGGGCTGGGGCATGAACGAGATGCTGTCCCTGTGAAGCACGCGTCACCGCGCAGCGGGTGCGGGGAGGGGTTCACTCGTTGGGGTTTTGTTTTCCATCCTGTGCCTGGTGGCGCGTGGTTCAGGGATGGCTTTCAGTGCGGCTCTGGCAGTAATAAAACCCTGGAGGAATTTTAATGCAGCCTGTCTCATGGAGTAGAGGTTCCCGGGAAGCAGAAACTTGCAAACGCCGAGGAAACGGGATTTTTTATGGTGACGTKGGGAACCAACAGGCAACTGGACTCCTGCATTGGAATGCTGCTCTCCCTCGGCTCCCAGGCTCTGTTTTATGTGCATTGAAATAATGGTTCCTCCTCATGATGCCAGCTACTCCAGTAAGACCAATAAAGTTATCAGGGTTTTCCATAAAAAGCCTACCTTTAATTGAATTATTATTCAATGAATAGGCCATAATTGAGGGCCCTGGCCCTCAAGGTCAACTGATACCAAATGGAAGGGCATTTGCCCTKCGAGAGATTCAGTGGCCCAGGCTGCTGGAGAGGATCGGTTCTGGGCCTTGTGGCCCCTCTACAGGCTACAGAGCATTCTGCACCTGATGGGGCCTTTCCACCGCATTAGCTCATCACTGCTCACCACCATCTCAGAGGGAGGCCAGGCAAGGACCTGGCCCTGCTGGCASGAGGACACGGAAGCTAGCAAAGCAAGTTCATGCAGCCAGAATGCAGCCAGGCCACAGTCCCCTTCAGGGGCCCCCAGCAGGACCCCCTTGCCTCCAGCACACAGGACCTGCCACCGGAAGGATTTCCTGTCCTGTATCACATAGAGGTCAGGACAGGGGTCCACCACTGTACTGTGTGAAGGGCACTGATTACCCTTGGATGGACCCCAGTCAAGTCCACCACAGGCCTTGACCCCAGAGAGAAGAAGTGGAGTCACTTCTCAGAGCCAGAAAGCCCACTGGGTGCCGCATGCCACTTGGGGGACAGACAGGGGAGAGGGTCATAAGATACTGAGGTGGCTGAGTCTAGGGCCAAGAAGCCAGGCCCCAGAAGGCCCAGAGGCAGCTCCCTTCCTTCTCTGGCCTTCAGGATGACCAGGATACAGGACCAAAGACAAGGCTGGTTTTGCAAGCTGAGTGCTTAATCTAGAATCTACAGCTGCTCATGAAAGGTGTGGCTCAGTGGGAGAGCACAGGCCGATGCAGGAGGCCCAGAGTTCAATCCCTAACTCCGCAAAAAAACAAACAAAAAATGAAAACCATCTGTCAGAAAGAAAACATCGACTGAGCGCATCAGAGTCTACGAAGTTTCACGTTTGCACTATTCCTGGGCCTTGTCATCCATAGAATCGACAGGCACCGCTGCTCACCCCGAATGCGTCCCGTCCAATCTCTGCCCTCCTCAGCAGAAGGTGGAGCTGCAGTGATGAGTACAATAAACCCACTCCTGAGCTGTCCCCAAGCTGAGCACACAGAGGACCTCACCCCCGTGGCCTCTGAAGCTGGGGGCTGGAAGAGATGAGGGTCCAACCAAGGCCACACTCCTGGCCAGAGGAGCTCCTGCCGTTACACTGCTGAGATAAAAGGCGGGTCCAGAGTTCTCTCTGTGCAGACTCGGAGCCCTCGGAGCCGGGGGATCGGGGCAAGGGACTGTA